CCCTTTCCCGCCCCTCGCCCCCCTTCCCTTCCTTTCTCCCCCTAAACCCTGACCAGACCCCCCCCCTCGGAAAGAGAAGGGCGGCGGCGGCAACGGCTGCACCTCCTCAGCGGGGGGGTGGGAACGCGAAGAGGCCAGGCTGCGTTGGCGCGGGGGAAGGAGATGAGCGTTGCACTCCTTCCTCTCTGGGACCGCTCTAGGGAGCGAGACTCTCTCCCTGCTTTCCAAGGGACTTCTCGCCTGTGGCGAGGGTTCCCACCCCTCCCCCCATTCCTTTTATATATATTCTCTCTCTCTCTCTCTCTCTCTCTCGCTTCCGTCTTTCTCCTCCTCTGTCGGCAAAGTCGAGAGCAGGGAAGGAAGGGCGGTGGGAGCATCTGGAGTGAGGCCCCTCCGTTCCAGGCCGTGTGTCCTACTCTTAAGAGTCCCCCAGCCGCTCCTTCCGCTGTCCTGCGTCTTTTCTCTGCCTGGCGTGGCTTTTCTCTCCTCCGCTCTTTCCTCGGGAGTGCCTTCTTTTCCCCTCCTCCCCCCTCTCTCCACATCTCTCAAGCCGCCCCTTCTGCCCCCCTTTTCTCTCCCTGGCCGTTTCCTCCCGGACAAGCCTTCTCCTCCTGAGGCTCCATTCAGCTCCCCCCGCCCGCCACAGGCGAGATCCTGCACGGATTTCTCCCAAAGAAGGGATGAAGTAACTACTGTAGTTACAAGTAATTGCACTTCCTGTAACTGGGAACTTCCCCGTTCTGGCCTCTTGCTTTTCTACTCCCTACCTGAACTGGAGGGAGAGATGAGTACAAGTAACTGCACTTCCTCTAACTGGGAACTTACAAGTTCAGTTTTTCTTTCCTCCCCCCTCCCACGTTCCCTACCTGAACCCTGGAAGGAAGGAAAGAGGTGGGATGAGTTGTTTGAAGAAGTAGCTTTTATTAATTGGTGGGAACATATTTGACAAAACAAATAAAACAAAAACATAAAAAAGCAAGAAAAATGATTTTACCTATTTTATTTATATTATTTCTATGCTGCCTTTTGTCCCATAGGGGGCCTAAGGCAGCTATTAACAGATGAAACAAAGAATTCCTCCCTTTTAACATGAGCTTCTTGGATCAAGTCCAAGATGGAAGAGTGAGACGGAAGGTGACAAACCTTTCTCCACATTTTTGCACTTTCTTTGGGAACCTGTTTGTGAATTACATCTAGGTGGAACACTGCCACAAATAGCCAACCACACTTAGGGCGCTTGGCTAACATACTGATTAGCCCATGAAGTGGGTTACCTCCATAGTGATGTATTTTTCACACTGAGCTTTTATAAGGTTTCTGTCCTGCGTGGATTCTCTCATGCCTAGAAAGATGATGCTTCCAACTGAAACTCTTTCCACAGTCTGAGCATTTATACAGTTTCTCTCCTGTATGGATTCTATGATGTTTAGTAAGGTTATCCTTCCACCTGAAGCTCTCTCCGCATTCTGAGCATTTATAGGGTTTTTCTCCTGTGTGGATTCTTTGATGACTAAGGAGTTCCTTTCTTGACTTGAAGCTCTTTCCACAGTCTGAGCACTTGTATGGTTTCTCTCCTGTGTGGATTCTTTGGTGACTAACGAGTTCCTTTCTTGACTTGAAGCTCTTTCCACAGTCTGAGCACTTGTATGGTTTCTCTCCTGTGTGGATTCTTTGATGAATGACTAGTTGATGCCTTTGAGTAAAGCATTTCTCACATTCTGAGCATTTATAAGGTCTCTCTCCTGTGTGGGTTCTCCGATGCCTAGAAAGATTCTGCTTCTGATTGAAATGCTTTCCACAGTCTGAGCATTTGTACAGTTTCTCTCCTGTGTGGATTCTGTGATGCCTGGAAAGATGATGCTTCCAATTGAAACTCTTTCCACAGTCCGAGCATTTATACAGTTTCTCTCCTGTGTGGGTTCTCTGATGCTTAGAAAGATGATACTTCCGATTGAAACGCTTTCCACAGCCTG